TATATCTGTTTGACCTTTAAAATGCTATATAACATAACTATAAGTTTGATTGTTATAGTTCAAACAATAATACTAATCTGTCTTTCTTTGTTATCCTAAATAGCTTTCACGGACTAAAAATTTACAATATATTTTTAAATGAGCTGCATAGGTACAATACCTTAAACAAGGATAGAAACATATACATGTAATAAAAGTAACCTTGAATTTGTATCAATATTCAAAAATCCATACCAATGTAAAATAATTGAGAATAGTTGTTGTTCAAAAGTAGACTCTACAATCAACACTTTAATCCCATTATTTCTAACTGTAGTCCCCCCTTTTCCTCTCAGAAAGAGATTTCTGAATCTAATCTCCTTTGCTCAGTTTCTTTCCTTACCATGACCAATAACAACTTGTAACCAACCCCACTAAATGATGACAAACACCCATAACCCACTTAATGACCAAAAACCACCCACACCACCTCTTAGGAACGGGGTGTTGTATTCTCTAGACTGATTCCTCTTGTCTGGGGATGACAGCATCTTTAGGGGACCCAGAGAAAACTAGAATAATGGTCAAGTCCTGGGAAAGCTAGCTGTATTATTTTCTGTTTATTCTCTGTGTGATGGGAAATTGTAGCACTTATCTGAAGTCTTGGCTGGATAGTCTTTGAGGCAGGACCATCTCATCTAGCAGATTTAAAGTTGTTCTGGATGCAGAATTTTGAGGAAACAACAGAAGATGCATTCTGAGAGGCTGGATTCCTGGGCTACTTGCTGTAAATAGTATCTGACTCTTTTGTTCTGAAAACACATAAACTGTTAAAGGTTTATATTCAAGTTTGGAATGTGCAGTGAGCACAATTCAGTTAAAGACAATTTTTGTTTTATGTTTGAGCAGGTGGGCGGTATTTGTTAACTTTACAAGTCTATTTGAACTGTATAGCCAAACCTCTATCCACACTATATGAAAGGATGGCATGTAATAATAAGTCATGAGGGCTCTGTAGCCAACAAGATTTATCATGTCTCATCCAGTCTCAGAACTGTTCCTACATCTAGGGATCAACATACATGCCACCTGTCCCGTAGTCTTTCCTGATTCCCTCCCTCATATCTGTAGCCAAGAACTCAGGAGGTCTCACCTGGTCAAATCTGATCTCTATTAACTTTAAGGGAATCAGTAGCTTTTCATTGCCTGTGAAAAGAAAAGCATAACCTCTCCCTCAACTCAACACATTTATCAACTTCCATTTTGAAGCCAAGACATCTCCAGAGTATATAGGCTGGTTTAATTTAGTAGTTTTTTCCACAATCCAAGATCTCTCAGCAGCCTTTTTTTTTCCTTCTGCATCATCATTTAAAGATTTTGAAGTCAACAAAGCACCATACAGGATCCAGACATCCTGTGTATTTTTCATCTGCACTTGGCTTATTATTTTATATTACTTTATTCTCTCTTTGCTTTATTATGTTGAAACTATTTTTCTATGACTGTCTATACTCACTTTCTTTTCTTTCTTTAGCATCTAAGCATTTTTTAAACACACTGCAAATTTTCAGAAGTTTTCTCAGTCTGGACCTGACTTTCTGTATGTCTGCACTGTTCTCTGATGGTGAGACAAACCTTAAACAGTCACACCAGTCACAACACGGCTTTGGTTTAATGCATGGCTCTGGCACATGGCACTGGCAGCTGGCTCTAGCCTTCAGGTAGCAGCAAGGAGCAGTGTCTCTGTATGCTGAGCACCTGAGCACTGGCCTGCCTGAGAGACTGCAGGACTAGGAATCCATATCCAGCTGCTTGTTCAGGACTTTTCTTAGCTTTCCCAGGCCCTGTGTTTGGATAATTGAACATCCACATTGGCTGTCATATGTAATTGGAGTTTTCTTTGGACTTCCAGCTCACAAATAATGATATGGAGACTTATTATTAATTATGAAAGCTTGGCTTTTGACCAGAATTTTTCCTAACTAACTTGTAACTTAATTAAACTGTTTCTAATAATCTATATTCTATCACATGACATGGTTACATTTCCTCTGACCTATATGTCCTATTTGCTCCATTGGCCTCTCCTGAGAACCTTGATTATCTCAGCCTACTTCATCTCTCTGACTGGAAATTCTGCCTATACCTCCTGCCATTATTGCTCATTCAGCTCTTTATTAAAACAATCATTGCAATATATCTTCACACAGTGTACAGATATCCCAGAACATTCCTTGGCAAAACAAGAAGAATAATATCTTGTAGTTAACTAGATTATAATGTTAGCATTATAAATGCAGACAACATTCCTGGCCCATAACAAATACCAGATATATAGTCAGGAGGTAGTGGCACAAACCTTTAATCCCAGCATTTGGGAGACAGAGACAGGATTTCTGTGAGTTCAAAACCAGCCTGGACTACAGAGAAAATTACATGGCAGTCCAGAGTACACAGAGAAGGCCTGTCTCAAAAAAAAAGCAAACAAAAATTCTTTAAAATATGTTTAACTCAGAGTTTGACAAGCTTTCTTTGACCTTGAAACCCAATGATCTGCCCACCAACCTTTCCTTTTCCTTTCACAATAACTACCCTGATAAATCTATTCTGGTAGTCTGAATGTAATTGATACTCATAATCTCATAGGATGTGACACTATTAAGAAGTGTGGCTTTGTTGGAGTGGGTATGATCTTGTTGGAGTAAGTGTGTCATTGTGGGAGCCAGCTTTGAGGTTTCCTATGCTCAGCATCCTGCCAAGTGTCTTAGTCAACCTCCTGTTGCCTGCAAGATGTAGGTCTCTCTGCTACTCCTCTGACACCACATTTGCCTACACACAGACATGCTCCCCATCATGATGATAATAGGACTGAACCTCTAAAACTGTAAGCTATCATTTCAATTAAATGTTTTCCTTTATAAGAGTTTTCATGTTTGTGGTGTCTCTTCATAGAAATAGAAAATCCTAACTAAGACAGCTATATTTCTACAAGTCCTATGCATTGGAAAATTCACCCAAGGTTCAACGTACCATGCTTATCAAAGTATCATGTGGATATTGCTAGCATAATTCTTATAACTTGATTAATTAAAAAATAACATTCTAGAACATGTAGAGAGAGAGAGAGATAAGTTCTATTGGCTGTATCATTGTTGGTTTACATGTTTCATCTCAGTCGGGAGCCTTACCATAACAATTAGCAATAATGTTAATGTCTGCTACATACACTTGCAGACTGTTTATAGACCACAATAAATGATAGCAACATATGCAAGATTTAAATAATATGGCTCAAACACATTTCATACATACTCAGCTTGCCCAACTAGAAACTGGGAAATGTAGGCATTCATAAAAAAAAAAAAAAACAGTACTTCAGGATTTTACATCTTCAATAATAAAATTTGTCTCCCCATATCCCTTCCATCTGAGAAACTCACAAAAGCCAACCCAAAGTTTGGTACTGACATCAATTTCATTACCTTTCGTGGCAGTATCTTGCTATGTGGCCCAGGCAGGTCTTCAACTCATGATCCACCAACTGTAGTCTCTGTGTACTAAAATTATAGGCATATGCCCCCAAACCTGGCCAGGATCAGTTTTGTAAATTATTTTCTATAGCTTTTATTTACATCATAGGCATAAGAATATATAGTAGCTACAGCCATTCACAATTATAAACAAAACTCTAAGACAATAAGCAGCTAATGAAAATATAATTTTACTCGTGTCTTCCCTTCAAATTTTGGCATTTATCACATTGTTTTTTCTAGTTCCTATCACAAAAGCTCCCAGATTAGGTAACTTATAAATAATAGAACTTAACTTCACATGGGTATAAAGGCCAAAAGCCAAGATAAAATAACTGTTGGGTTCAGTGTCTGGTGAGGGCCTGACTTCTTCTGTGATGGTGCCTTATTGTGTACTCTGAACAGAAGGAAATGGTCTTTCTTCACATGGAGGAATGACAGAAGAGGCAAAAAGGACAAAATATCTCAACCCTATTCTTAAGGGCACAAATCCCATTCATAAACTCAGGACCCTGTGTCCTCACTTCTGGAACTCACACACACACACACACACACACACACACACTCACTTGCACATCTAGACTCCCCTAGTAACCCTAATAAATAAATAGAGTGGGAACCTGGAATTTAGTGTTTTTTTCCCTCTAGTTAAGAGCATCTTGGTGTTTTGAGCACAAAATTCTGGGTTCACCCCCCACCAAAATAAATAAACAAACAAACAACATTTAAAAATAAAGAAAGAAAGCTATTTCTGGTACATCTTCCACTACATGGAAAACTTCAGAAGCCTCATTAGAATCTGTTGGTTGCTCTTTCCAAATGCTGACATTTAACAAACGCCATTGGCTGGTTTGTTCTGTTTGTCTCCCACAGCTGAAAAGTAATACAGGGTCTTCAAACGATGGCAATGGGTGCCTGTTTTGTCTCTGTCTGGTCATGCCAGCTGAGCACATGCCAGTATGTAGGAGATGAGAGGAGCTCCAGCTCCAAGGACTTTGTGTCTCACTTCACTTTTACTCCATCTGGGAATCACACTATTCAAGAGGTGCTCAAAAAGGTCCTTCAAGTGAGAAACACAGCAGACTTTGTAGCTGTTATTGTCGAAAACCAATTCAGTATAATGACTTTAAAGTACCAAAATTCAAACACACCAGAAACATTTTCCCTTTTGTACAACAAATACAACAGATGGATAAATTTTAAAAGCAAAAACCAAAGATAATATGTTCTCAGACACTCAGATTTAAAAAATGTACCTTATAAAGAAAATTTATACTTACAAATTTAAATATATAATCAGGGTTTTCTATTTACCACCTACTAAATTAGAAATTTTTTGTCTATTTTTGTCTATGTTATCTTGACATAAGTTTTAGCCTTGTATTTTCATGACATTCAGCTCTCACACATCTATCTGAATGTGAACTGCACAAACACAAAACAAACATATATAGCACACTAATGCAAAGAAATGGCAAGAGTAATACTCACAGGCTGAGAAAAACCACCAGTGTCCATTAGTGGATGGGCGAAAGACAGTTCAGACTATGCAATTGGGATTTGCTGCAGTATGGATCTAGTTTCTCTCCATGTGTTAGAGTCCCAGGAGACAGTATTGAAAGATGGTAGAACCTTTAAGAGACAGGCCCAGGTGTGAAGTCTTGGTATCATCGGGGTCTTGTCCTTGACAGAGATTGTGGGAGCTCAGCAATTTTCTCTCTCTCTCTCTCTCTCTCTCTCTCTCAGGCTTCCTCACTGTGATGTAAGATGTTTTCTTCTGCCACACCCTCGCACTGTGATGTGCTGCTGTGATGTGAGGTGTCTGTAAGTCAGACATCACCAGGGTTTGTTTTAGTGACCAAAGTGTGCTAACATGGGATCTCAAAGCATTTTGACTTGAATTCCAGGAGGAAATTCAACTATGTGTGCCTGTTTGTCAGCATGCAATTGACATTTAGATTCTTGGTGGTGAACGAATTCACAGTTACGTCTATGCCACCCACCATACACAAGACTGTGTCTCCTCTTGTGGCTCTTTTCCCAGGGTTTCTGATTCATTGGCTTCTTGACCTTTACTCTCAAGAAACTCACAGATGACTGTTTCTCCCTAAAAGCTCAGCCCTTCTACTGAGTTTATCACTTGAAAGCTAAACAAGATCTGCACTGGTTTCTATGCTCACCTTTTCTTTCCCCAACCCCAGTTTCAGGCTTCCATCCACATCTCTGGAAGGTGCTTTTAACTCTTTTTGTTCTCATTGTTATCCTCTTTGCATATCTAATTTAAGGCAGTGGCATCTAATCTACTAAACTAGTCATGTGAATATGCCGCTATCTTTTTCTTCTTGATTTTTATTCACCACGGTCATATTTTCTTCTTGCATTCAAACACTTCAATTCATAGACCACCAACCCAATTTGCTTCAGTGCTTAGAGTCTTCTGCACTCATCTGTCTGCTTCAGTGACTCTTCCTTCATAGGGAAAACTATAAACAAGATGTGATATCTGTTCTCAGAAAACGTTCAATGTAATTCAGGAAGGGACCAACAAAAGTAAAATGTAAAGTTGCTAAGTAATTGTGAGCTATAATACAAGGTTTGAGGAATTATGTGTAGATTATAGACATTAAAGGTCCATTTAACCATGAGATAACGATCTCCAGGGAGGATACAAATTAGGAAAGTTTGAATTGACAACTATAAGATAAAAAGAAAAATGAAGAGATTCATTTTAAGGGTTGGAAGCCCTGGAGTGTGCTTAGGTGTCTATTCATGCTAAACAGGGTAAATCAGATGACATGGGGGATGGGGCCAGCATAAGCCAAAAACAGAGAAGGAAGAGTTAACCACTCAAAAAGACCTAAGTAGATGGAATTATACAGGAGAACTATATAATTGTGAAAAATAGTGATATAACGAAGTCTATGACGAGCAAAAATTCTCAAAACTTCTGGGTAGAAGGAGAAAGATTTACATGGCTCTAGAGAGAACCCACAGCTGTATGAACGAAACCAGGGACAGTTTTATAGAGGATTGTCACCATGATCAGCTGGAAGCAAGTCTCATTAAGATGAGGAGAGTGAGAAATAATAAAAACTAACTCTTCTCCACTCCCTGCCCCCTTCTATCAGTGATGCTTGTTGGACACAATCAATTGGTACCTGAAGAGTATGAAAAGTTAACATTCACTTAGAAATTGCCTATTTCTACTTCTAGAAAGTGGAGCCCAGGAAGACAGAATAGATACGATGAGGGCTGGAGGAACAGCCATAGGTGTTTCTCTAAAGGACACTGGATTTCCTAGTTCTAGTATTGTGTAGTTAGCTCTACTTAGAATCTTCTTTCAACCATTTTTAGTTGTGTGTTGACACATTTATCCTACCTAATATTAATTAGTCATGCAAACATGACTTCTCATGTCAATACAATTATGCAAATTTCAAAATACAGTTCCATTTATGGGATGTTTCAAAACCAATGTGTATTCCTTTAAGGTAATATCATTGTTGTCAGCTTAAGTTTCCAATTTTTCAATCATTCATTTTTATTTCGCAAACTTCATATTTTGACATATTACAACAGATCCTAGTCCTAAGTATTTTTTTTCTGACATTTAACCCAAACCATCCACTTGTCTCATTGGCATGAAGTCAATGAGTGTAAGAAGTGAAATCACATATAAGCAAGAGCTGTCTCATTTGATAAATGAAGTAAGGAGAAGCATGGTGTCATCTACTTGACAAATGGATCTAATTTAACTGTGTGGATTTCTCCACTTGGTAAAGACTTTAGTGTGTTTGCACGTTTTCTAGCTTGGTATGTAAAAGGAGTCTAATAAGCAACTCCTGGCTGCTACATTCCCCATGGCTTGAAGAAGTAATGAGGAAGTACATTTTATCTAACAAATTGGCTGAAATATTAAAACCATCACTGTGGTATGTCTGGGATTTGGATGGGATAAGAAGACGTGATAAAAAGACAGGAACTTGGTGCTAGACTAGGGACTAGAATGAAATCACTTTTTTCCCCAGTGATTTAGCTATTTAGGCAAAAACAGCAAAATGTAATGAAAATTACCTTCAAAGCAAATACAGAATGGTTTATGACTTAGAATTCTATTTCCTGTCAAATCATAAATCTAATATAAGTGTCAAGTATATGTTTTCAGACATGTGAACTCAAACAAACAAACAACAAAACAGTATTATTTAAGTACTCTCTTTTAGACTTTGGGATTGGGACAGAAATGGAGAGGACACAGAGAGAAAGGGAAGGAGAGAGAAATTAAAGAGCAAATAGAGTATCTAATAAAAATAGATTTGTAGGTATTTTGGCTATGTTAGGGTTATAAAATTAACAATAGTAACAAATGAAATGAACATATGCCCTGATATGTTTAACTGTATATAAGGTAGTGACTTATGCAAATTATTACAGAAAACCATTACAAAGAGAAAGCATTCTATTTTTCTCATGTGACTGGGCTAACTCTAATATTAATAACATACATGCAGATGCAGAAAGGTAACTGTAAGTGAACACCAACTATCAATGCAGTTGTTAAGACGGGGGATTATGATAGTGGATGAGTTCATAAAGTGTAAAATTGAACAGGTAGTTACAACTCTAGGATTTCAAGGTGATTTTTTAAACTGCTAAAAATGGAAAAGGCTAATATCAAGACTCAGCATTCATTAATAACTAAAAATTAATATGTTTGCAAAACATATCATCTAATTAATTAATATAGAGACTATGTTGAGAACTGTTTACAGCATAAGATGAATAATGCAATTATAAATAGGCAAACTGTTTGAACAGACACCTAAAACAAACAAGATATACAAGTGGAAAGTAAGAACATGCAATCAGGTTCAGCATTATTAGTTACTTTAAAAAATGAAATAAAATTACAATGGTATTTTCTATATTTTAGAATTGCTGAAAGTATATTTTAAAATTTTAAATTCATGCTGAAACCAGGGCCATAGTGATCTGTGTGGCCTGTGCTGTCACCTGGGGCCATGTGTCAACCATACCTGAGCTACTGCCATGCCTGAGTCCGTCCCTACAGCAGTCAGGGTCTCAGTTGATGTCCATGGCTCCTATTACCACCAAGGGCCACGTGAATGCCTGGGATCTAGTCAGCCATCTGAGATCATGTTGGTGTCTAAGTGCCAAGCTGCCACCAGGGCCATATGGTCTGAGTGGCCTGAACTGCCACAGGGAGCATTGTGATGTCTGGGCCAAGCTGCAGCTGAAGGCCATGTCTACATCAATGGTCCTGATGCAGTTGGGGGTCTATATTCATATCTGTTACCTGTGTTGCAATAGGGGGCCATAAGAACCATTCTTAATGGAATCTGAGGTCCAGGCTGAGCTGACCCTGCCCTTTGATGGCCCTGGAAAAGCTGGTCCTGCCCTTCACTAGACACTGTAAAAAGAAATTTGACCCTGACTCTCACAAGAGAGCTGGCCCCAAGGACCTGGGCATAGGAGAGCTATACCCCTACACCCAGGAGAAAGGGCCCCACCCCCACCATGGCCGTGAGAGAACTGGTCCTGATGGCATTTGCATAAGAAAGCTGGCCCCGTGCCTGATAGGCCTCCCCAGCTGCCAGGTCTGACCAACCCAACTACTTCCCAGGCCCACATCCAGGGCCTTCTAGAGTGTGTGAAGGGACTTGTCCTGTGGAATGAGACCCACAGGATCTCCATGACTTGGGGCAGCAGTGGGGTTTCTGAAAGGAGCTTCAGAGAGGGTCTGGTAATGATGAACCAGAAACCAGAGGCCTTGAACCAGACCAATGACTCATTGCAATGAACATTTGCAAGTAAAGCTGATAGGACAATAGAGTATACTATGTGACACAGCACAACTCCCAATGCCACTGAAACAAATAAAGAAGTGTTGGAGAGGCAGGAGCAGCAGAGGAGCAAAGTTGTTTTCTTATTTGGTTGTTTAATTGATTTTATTTATTTTGTTTGTTTTTTCATTTGGGGGGCTACTGCAAGGGTGAAGGACAGAAACCAAGGGATTGGAAAATGAACAGAATTGGGGTGTATGATTTGAAATTTCCTTCAATAACGAAGTAATGTTAAAATTTAAATGCAATATAAAGTTCTTTCATGAATGTAAAACAACCTTTAGCCCCATTCATCACTGGTGGGAATGAAAGCCTGGATGTCCTTGCATCTTGTTAATCCAGAAAGAGAGATACCGTGTCTTTGAAGAAGAGCAAATGCCTAAAGAGACTAACCTACTTGCTTGCTCAGTCTCAAGTTCAATCTCAGGCTTACCCTAGCACATTTTTGTTTTATTGTTCGTTTCATTGTTGTCAGATACTATGCTGCTGACTCAGGAACTATATTTTGAGGGTTGCAGATATAGCACATAAACATCTAAGAAAACCTAACAATTATTCAAAGTAAGAAAATTCAGCAATGATGTCAAGCACAATGCTTGTGTAATAAATGAATAGCATCCTGTGAGACGGCAATGTAGAATGACAATTTTGATGAGAAAATGAAAACATTTGCAATACCTAAACAATACAGATCCCCGGAAAGGAACCTAACAGGCATACAGAATATCTCAAACTGGTAATGTATGGAAAATGAAGGACATTAAAAAAATTAATAACAAAAAGAAAAAACATTTTTAGTTTGTAGAAAACATGCAAAAGGTGTTACTTTTCCCCAAATTACTCTACACAATTCATATAAACCCAACCAAGGTCTCAATATTTCTGTCAGGCTTTAAAATTCACCTCTAAAATGTCTGCAGAAAATCAACAGGTGAATGAAGGATGGCTCCGCAGGTACAGAACTGACCACACAAGCCCAGGGACCAGGACATTGGTCTCAGAACTCTTGTAAAAAACCTGGCATTATAGCAAGAATTACAGTTGCTCTTAATTATATGCTCTGGAAAGTAAATCATCTCTGTACTGACAGTAAGCATGAAAACCATCAATGCAGAATCAAAATACTGTTGTTTCTTAAGTCACAGGGCAGAAAAATAAGATGAGGCCTGGAATTTACCCAATGTGGTGTTCCTGTCTGTAGATTGTTTGCCTGTTACATGAAACAACACCCCAAAACAAGACAAGAACACACTCAACATGCACAAACACACACATGCATTCACATACACTTTCTATTTACAGAATCAGATTCAATACTTACATGAAATGGGGGAGAAGCACAGACTTTACAGTTAGACTTTTGGGTTTAATTTACCACTTCCTGTGCTATACACTCAAGTGTTAACTATTTGGAATTTCATTTTCTCTACCTATGAAGTTAAAATGTAATTAATAATTCTTCTCTAGCTGACTGGATTAAAGTTGTCTGGCCTGCAAAATGTTCCAAATGGCATTTTCCTCCACCCATATCAATTTTGCATGAAAAAAATTTTATACAATATATTTTGAACATATTTTTTTGCATTTTATTTCTTTTTTGTTGAAATTAGAAACCATCTTGTTTTACATGTCAATCCCAGTTCCCTCTCCATCACCTCCTCCCCTGTCCCCCAGCAGCTCCCATCCCCATTCCCTTTCTGCTCCCCAGGGAGAGTGAGGCCTTCCATGAGGGATCTTCCAAGTCTGTCACATCATTTGGAGCAGGGCCTAGGCTGGATTCCCAGCTATCAGTCTGAGGTTCATGAGCTCCACATGTATAGGGGGAAACTTAGGACTCTGCCATTAACCACTTGGCACTCTAAAGGCGCATACGGATGTGGTAATGATAGGGCAGTTCACCGGGCTGCTAACCGCACCTACTTTGGGCATGACTAGAGACACACATGGATGTGGTCGTGGTAGGGCGGTGAGCTATGCTGCTAGCCAGGCCCACTTTTAGGCGTGGCTAGAGGCGTGTACAGTGGTAGGAATAAACGACTGAGCAGCAGAGCCTCTCGCTCTCTTTTCGGCTTCCCATTCTGTAGTGGGAAAACTACTTGACTCATCTGGGTTTCCCGTTTTCTCTACAGTAAACAGTTACCTATACCCTCAATAAAGTGTGTCTTTTATCGTTACAGTGACACACGTGTACAGGTCAGCTGTTTCTGTGGGTTTCTCCAGTCTGGTCTTCACCCCTTTGCTCATCATTCCTCCCTCTCTGCAACTGGATTCCAGGAGTTCATCTCAATGTTTATCTGTGGGTGTCTGCTTCTGCTTCCATCAGCTATTGGATAAAGGCTCTAGGATAGCATATAAGGTAATCATCGATCTCATTATAGGGGAAGGGCATTTAAAGTAGCCTCTCCACTACAACTTACATTCTTATGAGGGGGGAATCTTTTACATTTCTGGACATTTCCTTAGTGCCAGATTTCTCTTTAAATCTATAATGGCTCCATCTATTATGGTGTCTCTTTTCTTGCTGTCTTCTATTCTTCCCCTAATCAATTTTCTTGCTCCCTCATGTTCATCTATACCCTACTCTTCTCCCCTTCTCTTTCTCATAACTCCCTGTCTCTTCCTCCCATGCTCAAAATTAGCTCAGGAGATCTTGTCTCTTTCCCCTTCTCCAGGGGACCATGTATGTCTCTCTTAGGATCCTCCTTGTTTCCTAGCTATTGGGGCAGTGTGTATTGTAGTTGGGTAATCCTTTACTCTATGTCAAATATCCATATATGGCTGAGTACATGCCATGTCTTTTTGTGACTGGGTACCCCACTAAGGGTGGTTTCTTCTAGTTCTATCCATTTGCCTGCAACTTTCAAAATGTCATTTTTTTTCCACTAAGTAGTACTCCATTGTGGAAATGTACCGCATTTTCTTCATCCATTCTTTGGTTGAGGGGTATCTAGGTTGCTTCCAGATTCTGGATATTACAAACAATGCTACTATGAAAATAGTTGAACAGATGTCATTGTTGTATGAATGCGCATCTTTTGGGTATATGCCTAAGAGAAGAATGGCTGGATCTTGAGGTATACTGATTACCAATTTCTTGAGGAACCACAATACTGATTGTCAAAGTGGCTGTACAAGTTGGCACTCCCACTAGCAGTGGAGGAGTGTTCCCCTTTCTCCATATCCTCTCCAGCATAAACTGCCATTGGTGTTTTCTATTTTAGCCATTCTGGTCAGTGTACGGTGGTATCTCAAAGTTGTTTTGATTTTCATTTCCTTGATGACTAAGGATGTTGAGCACTTTCTTAAGTGTATTTCAGCAATTTTAGATTCCTCTATTGAGAATTATATATTTAGTTCTGTACCCCACTTTTTAATTGCATTGTTTGGTGTTTTAGTGACTAGCTTCTTGAGTTTTTTGTATATTTTGTAAATCAGCCCTCTGTCAGATGTAGGGTTCTTGAAGATCTTTTCCCATTCTGTGGGGTGCTGCTTTGTCTTAATATAACTGTGATCTTTGCCTTACAGAAGGTACTCAGATTGAGGAGGTCCCATTTATTAATTGTTGATCTCAATGTCTGTGCCACTGGTTTTATGTTCAGGTAGCAGTCTCCTGTACCAATTCATTCAAGGGTACCTCCCAATTTTTCTTCTAAGAGGTTCAGTATGACTGGATTTATATTGAGGTCTTTGATTCCTTTGGACTTAAGTTTTGTGCATGAAAATAGATATGGATCTATCTGCAGTCTTCTGCAAGCCAGCATCCAGTTATGCCAGCACAATTTGTTGAAGATACTTTCATTTTACCATTGTATAGTTTTAGCTTATTTGTCAAAAATCAGGTGTTGTAGGTGTGTGGGTTAAAATCTGGATCTTCAATTTGATTCCATTGGTCTACCTGTCTATGTTTGTGACAATACCAACCTGTTTTCAGGACTATAGCTCTGTAGGACAGCTTAAAGTCAGGAATAATGATGCCTCCAGGAAGATTCTTTACTGTACAAGGTTGTTTTGGCTATCCAGGATCTTTTGTTTTTTCATATAAATTTGAGGATTGTTCTTTCAATGTCTGTGAATAATCATGCTGGTTTTGATGGGGATTGCACTGAATCTGTAGATTGCTTTTGGCACGATTGCAATTTTTACTGTGTTGATCTTATCTATCCAAAAGCATGGGAGATCTTCTCATTTTCTGATATCTTCTTTAATTTCTTTCTTTAAAGACTCAAATTTTTGTTATACAGGTCTTTCACTTGTTTGTTTAGCATTACCCCGAGATAATATATATTATTTGTGGCAATTGTAAAGGGTGATGCT